GCATGCGCTGTCTCCCCCAGGACGAGAACACTGGTGGTTTTTTCATCTGTCTATTGAAGAAGGTGGCGCCTACACCGGATGACAAGGAGGAAACTATTTCAGACAAGGCTGAAGGTGAAGAGACTGTGGTTAAGAAGGAAGAAACGGGTGTGAAGGAAGAAGCAGCTACGGCTACCAACGCTACGGAGGCACAAAAGCCTGATGAGGCCAGCACGAACGAAACGAAGCCTCGTAGAAGTCGCCGCAACGAAAAGAAGGGCGAAGTGTATGTGCCATTTGGTGCTGACAACTGGGCTACTGTGCGCGAGTATTACGATATTTCTCCTGCTTTTTCGGCAAAGCAGTTGATCACTCGCTCGGAGGACGCAAAGTCTGTCACTTTTGTAACTGAGAGCATCACGATGGCTCTGTTGGAGGAGATGAAGCGCAAGAAGCTCAAGGTTGTATACGCTGGGCTCAAGATGTTCGAGCGTAATGAAACCGCGGAGGGTGGCAAAGTCTACCGCGTGTGCCAAGCTGGCCTGCCGCACATTCTTCCGTTCATGAACAAACGAAAGGCGAAGGTGTCAACCAAGGACTTCCAGATGATGCTGGAAAGACTTGGTGACTTGCTGGACTTTGACGAATTTGAGCCTGCTACGCGACAATATTTCGAGAACGCTCCGATCGGTAGCGTTGTGTGTATGCTCGATCGCCCTGGCCAGTCCAACGTTGAGTACGTATCTTTACTTGCTTTATTCGGGTGTATTTACTCATCTAACCATCGTGGTTTAACAGGTCGAAGGTGATGAACCTGGTTGTGTGGCGTGGTCGGAACTCCGTGAATGTGATGGCTGCCAAGGCGGATGTGGCTGTGCTGCTGGGAACGATGAAGGAGCTTAAGATCTACAACTCTGCCGTGCAGGAGGCTGTAATGGAAGCCAAGAAGGTTAAGGACGAAGAGCGTGCTGCTCGTGACGAAAAGAAAGAGGTGGAGATAGAAGAGGTGAAGGACGAAGGCAAGAAGACAAACGCTACGCCCGCCAACTAACCAGGGGACGGCAATCAGATAAAGGCTCCACAGATAGACATTGCTCTCTAACGCGTAACAGCTTTGCACATCAACTCAACGAACTCGTGTATTCTTGTTTGAACGGATCGAGGACAAGCAGCACTGCCATAACTATCTGCTAATTTTGAGTCGATATGGTGATAGGAATAGCCGCACACGCTCTCGATGGATGGAGCCTTCCAATGCTCCGCAGTTTATTTCTGCTCAAGACTGGAGCAAGATCGGTACCGATAACCTGCTTGTGTTCAAGCAATAGGAGATTCAACAATGGAGCGGAACTCGTCGTCGCCAGCTGAGATGCTCAGGATGCCCGAGCACCCTAGCACACCAACGTTCACATGGTACGAAGCCGCGAATTTTTCATCTTTTCGTGTACGTAACTTTGACTTTTTGTACGATGAATGATGCAGTGAGGTGTGCAAGATATCGGTGCGCTCGGCGCAGAAGCTTATGGATCACGTGAACTTCTCGCCACTTCATCAGGCTTCGCTCGGTATGAATAAAAACACGAAAGCTCGTGCCAAATCTACAAAGCAAATGCGTAAATTGCTGTACGATGGCTCGAAGCTGTTCTGGCGCGTCAATGAGACGCTAGATCTGTGCATCTACGAAGATGCGGCGGTAAACACCATCACCATCCGAGCGTTCCAGCACACATCGCCTCAGGACAGTGACCCTAACAACTCTGCAGACCCCATTCCAGCTCTGGATATCGACTCGCGCCGCTTGCGTGAAACTCTCGGGATCGAGACGGCTCCTAAGGCCTCTGGACAACATGGAAGAATGGCGTATCCTCCAACGAATACGATGTCAAGCTCGACGCTCCCCAAGGCAAATGCTGACGCATCGACATCAGCGCATTCAAGCGAGTTAATCACGAAATATCTACTGGCTCGGCTTCAGGCACGGCGCGACATGCTGGACCGAGTGAACCTCTTCCTGCAAAAGATAAACGACGATGAGGTGGATCCAGCCGATCTCTTGTTGACCACAACCGGAGGTTCTCAAGCACTACCCACCGACCTCGAGATTCGCCGTCGCCACACTATAGATGACGTGAAAGACGCACAGAAAGAAGTGTCTGTGGCAACCACGCGGTTGAAGAACGCACGCATTAAAGCTGAAGAGCTCTCGAACCTAGCGCGACGAACGCTTGATACTTTTTCACGACAATATGGTTCGGCCTCTGACGAAAACAGAAGAATCGCACGAGAGAGAGCCAACGTCAGTGCATTGGCAACCTCTGCGTCCAACGCCATTCTGGGGATGAATGGCGGTCGCCGTTTTACTATGATGGACAACAAGCCTGCCGCTGCTTGGATGCGTGCTTACGATCGAGTGGTGCTCCAGAGCGCCGTGGAGCGCAGCAAAGATGTGATCGACAATCGACCTCAGTACGAGAAGAACGCAGGGCCAATTGACGAGACCAAGTAACATTGAGAACGTTTCATTACCTATTCGATAACTCGTTTGCTTGAACCCGTAGCACTTTTGTTGTTTGCATGTCGAAGTTGGAGGAGGACTAGCAAGTTGATACGTAGCGCTTCATTCATATGAGTGTCAACAAGGTACTGGTAGAATAATTCGAGGTAAACTTTTGTTCTTATTGTCGGTGCATTTGTCAACAAGCTAGGGTTGATTGCTCTTGCGCGGGTCGTCCCAGGTTGTGACCCGGTTAATGTGGTCGATATAGAATATCCTTCCTTTGGCGTCGGTCTTCTCTTCCCAACCGACTGGGAGTGGGGTGGCACATAGTGGCGCTGCGTCTAAATCACTTCCCGGAGACGAATTTCGTGTGGCATCTTCTCTCTGCTGACAAATGTACTGCAAGAGCGCTTCGCAATAAAGATCGCGAGCATCTTGGTTTGAGAAATT